CTAAACTAGCAAACACTTTGGTAATCTGGGGGGTGTACCTTTTAATACAAAGAAGCGGGTCATTACGCTAGTTAATAAAACATTGCGTTCCATGCATAGGGTTAAGTATGATGCCAATAATATTCCTTTGACTCGCACTAGCGTATTATATAAGCAGTCTAAAATCTTGAAACTTGACGATATGTATTCATTTGAGCTTTTAAAATTCATGCATAGGGCACGTTTCCATGATGATCGTCTTTTTGAGTCTGCCTTCGCCTCTCTCGTCCCTCAACATTCCCATAATACCAGGGGCGTAAGGTTTATCTTGCCAACGGTTCGTCTGGAAGTAGAAAAAAGCGGTACTGTTTTTAACTGCGTTAAATATTTTAATGAATTGCATGAAGATTTTAAAAAAGATTGTTCCAAATTACTTTTAAAAACGAAATTCCGTAAATTTATTCTTAACCAGTATTAATTTGACTTCGTTTTTCATGCAGGTTCTGAATATTTTTGACTCTATATTTCAAGTTTTTACCCGTCTTTAATCACTGTTATATTGATATTGCTTTGTTACGCTTAATTTTAGTGACATCCTGTTATCAGTTTTCTTGAGGCTTTTCTCCTTGTATGTGTTTAATTTAGAAACTTTCTGTTGCTCTTAACTTCTTAGACTTATCATTGGAATAGAGTTTTAAATCACCTATGTTGCCTGCGAAGCTTATCTGCTTATGGGCATTCACTTGGATGTCTCTATTATTTTATAAATATTGTTCTTTTTTTTCTTTTGAATTGTTACTAGAGCTCCTCTGTGAATAAAAATTAATAAATCAATTAATCAAATATTTATTTGAAAGAATCGCATATATTTATAAATCAATTTAGTGTGGGTCTTAGAGGACCGTAGAACAAAATGGACAGGTAGAAAATAAATATATCTAAAATGAGTTCACGGCGTTTTTCCCTTTCACCTATATTGTCAGTAGTCTTATAAAATCTTGAAATATATAATGGGAACAAATGTGAATTCTTCCAGCACTTACGATCATTATGTACTGGTCTACAAGAATTCTCGAACAATCACTAATATTCCAGAAATGGCTGGTGCTATGATGTTCATATAGCCACTGTAAAGCTTAGAAGCAAATGAATAACATGAATAATAAAATTCATAATTTAATCATAAAAATTACTGTCGGAAAACCTCTCAGGAATGACTGCACAAACGCTCATGAATGTCATGCATGCAGCTATTGTGCGACCAAGAGGTGAACAGATTAATTAAGTTATGTGACAAACGAGTTGTGAAATTCTGACAAGCTGAGTTGTGAAATTCTGACAAGCTGAGTTGTGAAATTCTGACAAACTGAGTTGTGAAATTTTGACAAGCTGAGTTGTGAAATTCTGACAAACTGAGTTGTGAAATTCTGACAAACTGAGTTATGAAATTCTGACAAACTGAGTTGTGAAATTCTGACAAACTGAGCTGTGAAATTCTGACAAACTGAGTTGTGAAACTCTGACAAACTGAGTTGTGAAATTCTGACAAAGCGAGTCGTGAAATTCTGACAAACTGAGTCGTGAAATTCTGACAAACTGAGTTGTGAAATTCTGACAAACTGAGTTGTGAAATTATGATAAACTGAGTTGTGAAATTCTGACAGTTGTTATCATAAAAACTAATACTTATAAGATTGCAACGACGCTCATGAAATTCATACAGCTACTGCGCATTTATGTATTGAAAAATTCACAATATTTAGGCGATATTCTGAATTAAAGAATTTATCTACCATCGGATGACCTGTAAATTTTAAACTGCTGAATTAGTATCCATAAAATGCGGGCTCCCGTCTCGCATTTATGCCCTCCATCGCTCTTCAAACTTTTCTTTCCAAAGAAAGATTTTTTCAAATAATTACTTGTAAAATAAATTAAAACACTTACTAATGCTGAATTTTTATCAATTTTATTAATTTAGATCACTTCATGATATTTAAACGCTGCTATGTTCCCCGGCCTCTAATTTTTCGGAACAGCCTGCCTTGAACCGAAGTTTGACAGTCAGTCCTAATACCATCCATGTCTAAATGTTTTAGGTTATATTCAATTCGGTTCATCAATTCAAATTAATATATTTTGATATTCAGTTTAATAGTTATAAACTGTAAAAAAGCGAAAAGTATAATAAGCTCATAAAAATGCAGGAATTTATTTACTATCTGCCAACAAAGGAAGGTTTCAAGTAGAGTTTAAGTAACAATAATGGAAGTAAACTCAGCTAAGCTAAAATAGCAACCTATTTGGAATTTTAAATGAAATTCACTTCAATATCATTAATGTCCTAGATTACTATTTTATTTATTTATCAAGCACATCCTTTGAATTAAATATAATATTTAAATTGAGTTATACTTTCCTGTTATACTCATTATCTGGGAATATTCCTGGATGAATACACAAGAATCTTCTTATTCATGTCATTATATTTTCAGCAAATGGCGCAGTACCAGCGGCCTTCAGGGCTTGACCCTGACCCGCTCTAATGAGTGGCATTTAACCCACTTTATTCTCCCTCAAACCCTCACGTTAATCACTCCGCGACTCAGTGCCCTCATGGGCGTCCACCGTGAAGGTTGTGTGTCTTCGACCGTTACGATTAAAAAAAAACAATATAATTGGATCAACATTACCGGTTTCTCATCACGAATATTCTGTTTCCAAATATTTATGTTATATTTCAAATATTACGTGACATAATTCTTCAGGACATCTCATCGAATTGACTAAGTACGTTTTGGGATTCACTACAAAAGTCGTGAAAATTTCGTATTCTAAAAATAGAATACAGTTTCCAGAATATTCTAAGATAAATTACTGTTTCCATTACTTACTATCGACCATAAGTTGACTTACTGTCGAATAAGTTACTATCGACCATTCTAATAATTATGCGTATGCAAACTAAAAATTTCAGCCAGTCGAATATTATTTAATACTTTAAGCATGCTGTTCGGTAGAAATATATAATTATACTGTAAAACGGGGTGACTTTGACCGCTTCGACATTCAAGGAAAGAAAACCCTAAACTCATATTGTTCATGTCGTAGAAAAATTGTGTTTATGGCTCATGAAATACCACGAGATAACGTTCAAATGCAATATAGAGATGGATGTTATATATTAGAATGTGAATATTTATTCACGTTGGATCCCAATAAGGTAAGCGTCAAGAACGGTCCAAGTCACCCCGTTTTACGGTACGCTAGATTGTATCTCCATTGCAAATTGCCATGTTGAGCTCATATTTTCAATCTAAACTATTTATTTTATCGAAAGCAAAAATTTTTGCATTAGTGACTGCTAATCAAATAAGTAAATAAATGAATATTATTAATTTTTATATCACTTATTACATTTATAACTCTTAGTTTTCATGACTACAATATTCAAGTAGAACTATTATTGTTATGCATTGAAAATTCATTTATTAGGATATGTATAAGGCTAATTATGCTTTAATGCTAATAAATGATGCATAAATGCATTGAATAAATTATGCACGAATAATTGGAGTAGATATGAAACAGGATTAATTAAATATAGTTTGAATGATCAATGTTTAAAAAAAGTGGACATAATGTATAATTACGTGGATTAGAACTGCGCCGTTACATGTAGCTGGTCAATGCGATGGCCTTGCCTCAGTAGTCAGCAATATACAGTATTGGACTCTAATTTTCTTATGCAGGGGACATTAGTGCACTCACATCCAGTTCTGGTGCTTAATTTTACGCCAGTTTGAGGTGACAATTATATTGATCGTCTGGCAAGTTGCTTGGGAAATTATGGTGCAGAAGAACTTACTTTATTCGATTAAGGATTGACATCGTCGTATGAGCTCGATATCCGCACTCATTCCGTCGTATGAGTTCGATATCTGCACTCATACCGTCGTATGAGTTCGATATCCGCACTCATTCCGTCGTATGAGTTCGATATCCGCACTCATACCGTCGTATGAGTTCGATATCCGCACTCATTCCGTCGTATGAGTTCGATATCCGCACCACGGAGGTCGCCATCCTCACGTGAGAATCAATAACGCATAAGAACGTAATTAAGGAAGGCTAAACTTCTTCCCATCACGCTAACCAATTTCCATGGCGGCAGTGAGTAATCCTGAGTGATCCATGGACAATATTCGTGTGTGATCGATCATAAAAATGTTTCAGAAATAAGGACTGAGGTCTTATCGTAGTTGAATTTGATGTGAAAATGAAAAACGTATTTGTTGGCATTTTGTGTCATATTAGATGTAAACCTAAACCTAGTCCAGCTTCATTGAGGTACACTCAATGAAAGTGAAAAGCGGAATGAATTCGGGGGAATGATTGACCTCTAGACATCGTTTGCTCACACAAGCCTCTCTGGCATAAGGCTTTTTGGAAATCATCATTGCTTGTAAAGGATCGAAGAATTCAAACTTTATTCAAATTAAACTGTATTCACGTAGCAAGCTCATCGCAATCGATACGTTCATGATTTAACTTTAATCGTATTATAGAAACCCCCCAAAATTTACGCAGTTTGTGAGCATTTTGAGGTTTTCTCAATTTTCGCTTATAATAATATTTTCGATAATTCTATCCTGCGTACCTACTGCATACTTCCTGGCAAACCAGAGGCTGGATTGTTTATACATGAAACCAATAGAAATTATCAGTTGTAACAGAATTGATATAAGTACATGAATAGTTGGATAATTAGGATTTAAAATCACTTCGGTACTAAACACTATATCTCCGAGGAAAAATAATACATGTAAATTTATCCTCTCACTTATTGAATATCAAAATAGACATTAAATTCTGATTGCCATCTAATGTCAACATTTGTTTCTGCCAATATTAAAACGAGTTAAATAAGCAATTAGTTCCAGCAGCGTACATGTGAACCGCTAAGCTAAGGCAGAGACAAACGCTGTTTCGATTCTCTGAAAAGTCATCCGTTGTGCAGCGGACATGTTTTTTTAATTGCTATTCAGCTGGTTCGAACACGCAGGTCAGTCCTCAGCTTACAGAATGTGCATTGAATTGTGTATTGTAGATGTTATCTTGAAGTTCATATTAGAATAGTTTTAATTGTGTTGTATTTTTTTTTTGCTTTTCTTCCATTGTGTTTAGGTTTAGCAGTACCAAATTCATTAATTATTACCTATCGCTCTTTCCTAATTATTAATTTAAAATTTTATGTAACTTTAATACTATTATTATTACTATTCAAATAAAACATGTGAGCTAAAAATTATAAACAAATTCGAATAAAAAACACAAATATTCCTTTTAATTTTAGTGATCTATCCAATTTTTAACAATACATATAACTTGAACAACGTTCGTTAACCATGACGAGTAGGCATGAATGAACCTTATAAATAGCCATAACATCTGAGCAAAGATATTTAGTTCTAGATAAAAAAATCTCTATGAAAGTGAAAAATTGAGTCGAAGTGACACAACCAACATTGAAGTAAGACACAAACAACGGTAGCGAAAAAGTTTTTTCCCATGAGTACAACTTTCATGGGAAACATCACACAAAAATCTGAAATAATATGTACCCATTAAAAATTTTCTTGTTAATTTATGCCGGAAGTGTTAAATAAAATCATTAAGTGCTGAATTATAGAAAACTTGATTTGCGTTGTACAGGATGGGTTGCGAAAACTCTAAGGACGTCGTACACCCAATGAACAGAACTACTTATCCACCCAGACTGGAAGAAGATGCAGAAATGTTCGGTGAGTGATTTTTGGTTCTCCATATTAGAGAAATACTAGTTATTTTATTAGGTTATTTGTTTACTATTTTCTCAAAAATTATTCTAAGTTATTTATCCAAAAATTTAAAGACTAATAAAACGCGCAGCAAATTCACGTTTTTATTGAAGAATTTACTTGGCGATTCTTTACTTTTAAATTTTTGGTGAAATTATTTAATTGAAATTATTGAATTGAACTACTGATATTAGAACTTTTATACGATCTAAATACGACAGGTTATGGTTATGGTTGATATTTTATTCAACCATAAATAATTTGACGATAATTTTAGCATAGGAATGCTGGCTTACTTAAATATTATATTTTCTCTTAAATTATTTAAATATTATATAGCCCAGAACAACACATGTTGTTCTGGGCTGCTTAACTGTGCGTTTAGTGCCACAAAATATACCGGATTCAAAGAAGATGTCAGTTGGTGAATGCAAAAATGTCCCTTGAAACACGATAAACTTTGAAGTTCGAATCCTACGTTCGATCTGTTAGAATAGTAAGCATAAATTTAAAGAACGAGTGAAATTTCTCTGCAACGCTCGTGTTCAGTACTTTATTTATCATATTTAATTCATACAGGATTCAGTGCCATGAGTACCATTTTAAATAGTTCCTTCTAACAAACATTTAATCGTGATGGATTCTGTACCCCAGATATTACTGCAAACAAATTCTACTGGAGCAATTTTTACTGCAATTCTACTGAGAAGCAATTACTAGTGCAATTCTGCTGAAGCAATTATTATTTAAACTCTATTGAAGCAATTATCCATTAAACAATCATCGCCATTAAGCCTACATACGAGTATGTTAGACAGAACAACGGACAAAATAAACGCGCAAGCCATTATAACAACTCAATAATGCCCCATTATAGATGTTCCTTTGTGTTCGTATATACGTTCAAAATGAATGACGTTGTTTTATTAAAGTGTCATAGATAATCTTCTCGAGTACATGAAAACTGCAGGGATATTTTACCAATGAATGCGTGACAATATTTTTTCCCTGCCTGAGACCATAAGAACTTAGTTGCCTAAAATTTGCGATCTTATTTTAATTAATAAGCTTGGTTTGCAAAAAAATACCCTTAAACTTTTTAATCGAATGCTGTCCGTCTGTTTTACTTCTTATTCGCTTAATTTTAATTTGTCTTCGATTTTGATTATTGATTGTTTCCTAGTTCATGGTAACCTGATGAAAACCTTAATAGGTGAGCTTACATATTTGTCGAGAAGCTATGTACGTAAGTCAGAAGCAACAAGCGTCGAGGGTCATGATCGATTGACCATTTGAGCGCCCGCTGACGCGAGAGTCTGGTCGATGTTTTGTGCAATGGCGACCTGGATCGATTAAAAGTAAAAAAAAACAGTTTCGTGCGTTTTAGATTTCGCTTGCAAGCATGTGTTTCATCAGTTATGATTTTATACATCATCAAGAAAAACGTATGATTTTATTTAAATGTCTTCTTTTGCGTCGATGCTCTCTCAATTTGTAACCAGCATTTGCACACTCAACGCTTTCCCAGCTCAGTTCGCCTGTCGATCTATTGAGCTATGTTCACGTAGTAACCGTCAGCCTGAATTTTAATCCATTCTTCGTAAATTGTTTGGATATGTGTGAACTCTACCTACTTTCATTGCTGTCGGATTTTTTTATTCATAATTTTTTCACTCTTAAATTTGTGTTTTCGGATTTTTCTCCCGGTATTCGATTGATGTATTATTCTGCGGTTCACTTTCTATAAAAAAGCGAATTTTATCTATACGTTATTAAAAAACTTAAACTCAAGTTTCTGCCAAGGGCACGAGAAATCCTCTATGGTTGTTTGTACTGCTAACGTGGCAACGTCTTTTTTATGTCAACGGCAGGGTAAAATTGTCTGTAATTATTTTTTTTTTTGCACCGCACGTTAATTGCGAGGCTGTCTCGTGACGCGCGTGAGTTATGTCTGAAAAACGTGCTGCAGAACAGCCTCGTTGCCTCGATTTGCAACACAAGTTGTAGCTCGGCGCAACCCTGCCAACGCGCGAGCTGACTAACCACTCAAAATTGACGTTAAAACACGTAAAAATATACAGAATATTTCAATTGTAGTATTGGTGGCCCCCCCCCCACCAATACTACAATTGAAATATTCTGTATATTTTTACGTGTTTTAACGTAAATTTTGAGTGGTTAGTTCTCATTTATCAGAGTTTTTTATATTTATTGACGGATATTTAAGGGAAGAAGTTACCGTTTGAGCGAAGCTGTGATAATGAAATGAAGGGCATACAATTATTTTAAAAATTTGTTCACGAGAAATTTCAAAAGAGAAAATATTTTATTTCTCCGAAAAAGTTAATTTCTGCATGTGTAACCGCTGAATCTCTTGACTTAGGTTGGTTACGTACCATTTAATCAAATGGTCTTCACGTTTTGCTGACCTTAGCGTGTAATTAATACAAGTAACCATGTCGTAGAAGGAAACAGTGAAAATTTTCAATGACGATCTTTACTTCATCAATAAACGGGTCACAAGTTATGACTGGCAACAATTGGTTGAAATTATTTTACATTGGTCTGAAAATGTAAGAATGTATAAGTTAACAGTGATATATGACAGTTCTACGTACAGTTAAATTAAGCGTCTCCACGCCACACCTTACCGGCCGGCATCGAGACAAAGAATAGCGCATATAAGTAGCGCAGAGAGAACTTGTCAACTGTGAAACAAAGGCTACGCGCTATGCGATAAAACTGCGGCTACAGCATGGTTAATTCATATATTTAAAGGAAACCACATTTGTATAGTTTTTTGATAAATGCTTCAATCCATTGATGGTAATGGATGATTTCAGTAGTTTGCCTTGAAAATGCCATGTTTTCTGAACAAATGTAAAAAGTTGTTATTGCTGGTATACTATTTCACATCAACTAGCTAAGTACCAATCCATATTAATTTGAACTTTTCTTACTCATATCACAAATAAATCGTGATTTTTTCTACGATCATCTGAAAAAGTATCCGATGAAACGTAGATGTTACTGGCAATAGATGAAACTATTGCCAGTAGATTTATTTATAAATTATTGTTAAGCGTGAAAACATGAAAGATTGATGGCGGAAACTTTTTTTTGCTGAAAAAATTGGTAGGATTATTAAAGGTGAAAACATGGAAAGGTGAAGATAGGAAATTTGATGTTTTACTCAATAAAAGTATCAAAGATTGTTTGTTGAATGATCGAAGATTTAAAATGAACGATTCTTGCTTGTAAATTTGTACGCGTCAATCGTTGCATGGACCTCCTTCAAGTTATCTTCCTATTGAATTTTCCCAAATACTAAAATAAGGCGTTGAATTGTAACGACGTTATTTCCTGATAACATATCATAATAACGGCCTTTTGATACTTATTCACCACACTAAGAGATATGAGCAGGACGTTGCCCCTAACAGCGACCTAGCAACGTATTTATACCACTGATGTGGGTGATCATGATCCGGTTTAACCCGGCATAGTGGCGTGTAAGTGCTACATGCGTAGCGAGTGTCAATATTTTGAGAATATGACCAATCAATTTTTTTATGGTAACTAAAATATTCTGATAAATATTATATTGATATTTGTAAACAGAATTTAAACATTCCTCAACTCATGTTTCTGAAATTGACACTTTCTCTGGAAGTATATTCCTACGGACTGTGTTGTCAGGGTTTACATACGAATTCATAACAAATATTTGAACAAAAGGGAATAGCCCAAAAATTCACTATTTCTAATACAATTTTTAATTTTTGTTTCCTATTTTTGTTTTTTTTTTTACTTGTAAATTATTGCAAATTTGCGATTTAAGCAATCAAGTGATCTTATTACTCAAAAATCAATAGTACGCATATATAGTGGTTGCTAAAAAGTTTTGAAGTATATTATTTTATCATATTATTTGTCTACATTATTTAAAACAAGTTTTTTTCGTTGAACTATATTTGAATTACATTATTTCATTATATTATTGATGAATTACATTATTTCATTAAATTATTTATCTATAATATTTAAAACCATAACAATGTGTTCTTCGCTTAATTATATTATAGAGTAGAATTATATCAATTTATTACGTTATATTACTTATCTATATTATTTGAAACCATAACAAGGTGTTTTCCGCTGAATTATATTATAGAGTTAAATTACATTATTTAATTATATTACTTATCTATATTATTTAAAACTATAAAACGGTGTTTTCCGCGGCCAAAATAGACAAGGTTCGTCCATCAGCCTCGAAGTGTTGTTTGTGGTGCAGACGTCTGTTTACTCAGGCGATCTTGCGATATATCATTCGACTCCACACAGTGGAATTAATGAGACCTTGTCCAAGTAGCAATGCACTTGTTTGTTTGCCCTTACGTGGGTCATCTTGACCCAGTTCAGCCCAGAGAAGAAGGACGTATCTGTGATACACGCAGCAAGTGTGTCACTATTTAGACAATATTACCTTTTTATTTTTTCTAAATGTCCCGCCCGAGTCCGGCTGCAGCAAGAATTAGATAAATAACATTAAAAATTAGGTTTCTACCATAGGCTTTGTTCAAGATAATCGGAAACTTATTTCAATATCAACTTTGATATAATTTGATCTAAGAAACTCCCATGAGGTTTTTACATTAAGCCATAGCCATTATATAGCCGCCCACATAAAATTATTTATGGCACTGAAGGATAAGGTAATAAATGCAATATTTATGAATTAAATTTGTCATTGGAAATTTTGGCAACTTCCACATCATTATTTAGTTTAATTTGCACTCTAAAATAACGCTATACGGTCATCATTTTTATATAATTTATTGAAGTCGGATTGTAGTGCACTAGCATCACGCGTATCATTCCTTCCATGAAGTACGCTGCATTAAGCCATATACTGCCTCTTATACGTACGTATATTATACATATGATGCCATATACTGCCT